TTACAATAATTATAATACATAAAAAATTAACTTTTGTAATTCTCAAGTATAGCTAATGTGCAAGAAGATGTTGAATACTAAAACATTAACATGTATGAGGTTACTACACAAAGCCTTTGGATGCTGCAATCTTGTAAGACAGTTTAAACAAGTTTTTAAGATGTATAATGCAAATTGTGCTTACTTGTGTATCTTATTAGCTATTCTCTTTGTTAACTCTAAAAATCTTTTTAGTTTGCAACAAGCTTAAATTTTTGTTTTACTTTAAGGCAGTTATTTTTAATCTTATGCATATTAGTTGATCTAGAGAAAAGTTATTAACAAACGTTTTTAACTCTAAATATTGTTTTATTTTATGACTGACTTATCAGACATGAGAGCAGTAGATCATAAACTTTTTTTAACAATTCATTTGCATGGATTTGTTTCAAATGTTAAAACTTACAAATTTATTTACATTTTGCTTCTTAAGTTAAAGCAACTGTTAAAATATTCAGCACATATGTTTATTTTCCTTGTAGATAGTCTGAGTGTGTTTAAAAGAATTAGCTGTTAACTCTCATCAGTAGATTATTGTAAATGTAGTTTGAATTATAATTTTACTCAAATAAAATGTTTATGACAGTTGGAAAGTGTCATGCAACATTAAGAAAATAAATATTAAAACTAATTTGCCAAACAGTATGTAAAAAGAACTATTTTTTGCTTGTTTTTTGTGTGTGTGTGTGTGTTTTGTCTTCTGCATTGATTGAAACATGAATGAGGACTTCTGTGAGCCTGACAATTTAAATTCTATCTGGTCATGACCAAGCACAATAATTTAGAACTTGAGAATTTAGAATGTAGGATTAAACTAAAGAAGAGTATAGCAACATAGAATACATTTTTAATATTTTTGTGATTGTTATTTTTGGTACTATTTACATTCCATTGTTGTTGATGAGATTAGATTATTCTTTTATCATGTTTTGATGTATGTTTATTTATATAAAGTTTCTCATTTTCAGCATGGGTGGGGTCTATTTCAGTAGGAACAACTCTTTTACTCTCACCAGTTGCCAGTATTCTTACAGATAAACTTGGAATCAGGAGAACGGCCTTTCTTGGTGGCTTTCTAGCTTCTCTTGGCATGTTTCTTAGTTCTCTGATTAACCACTTGGATTTGCTTTATCTCACATATGGAGTGGTGCTTGGTTCTGGAGCATCATTAGCATACACTCCATCTTTAGTTATCCTCGGCCACTACTTCAAACAGCGTCTAAGCTTAGTAAACAGCTTGGTTACAGCAGGGAGTTCTGTATTCACTACCATAATTCCACTCCTCCTGAGATACTTGTTGGATGCCATGGGACTCATGAAGACCATGCAGGTGGGTGATTAAACCTCATGAGTATGTATTAAAACTTTTAAGAGAACTAATGCTGTACTGAATGACATCATGATAATGTCAGCCTCTTTCTTGTAAGTGTGAATGGAATATTTTGTCATATATTAGATATTTTGCCTGCTAATATATACTGTAAGTCCTGTAACTAAAGTGGATTTACCATAGTAGGTTTCATATTGCTTTAAAATAACACAGACACCTATCGCTTGCTTTTTGATGACAATATGTCTTTATAGTATAATTTAAAGCAAACTTCTATAGGTAGAATTATTCTAGTTTGTTGAAAGTATTACTCTGCAGATGATTTTCAAAATGTTTATGTAACTATTTAAGTTAACTATTTTTCTTCAACCATGTTCAAATGTTTTCATCATCTTAATATAAATAATAAGAAATGTAACCATTATAGCAGTTTTACTATAGTCAGTCTTGTTGGATTTTTTACATTATACACATGGAATTATATCTCATCACTGATCTCATTAAAAAACAATAACTCATTTTCTGTTCTGTGAACTTAACACTTTTAACTGTTTTATTATTAAGCCATGTACTCTTCAGAATTCTTTCATTTTAGCAACTTTTCTACCATCTGTCTTATTTAGTTATAAATGGGTGAGCCAGAAGTGTAATGTATAAATATGTAAGTTTATAAACTTCTACATCTAAGTTATTAGATTATTATTTTTATTTGATAAGTTTTTTAGATTTAGAAATAACGTGTTACACTATTTGAATTTTCTTCAAAGGTTCTGTCTGCTGGTATGGCTTTGTTAATGGTGTGTGCTTTGACCTTCACACCTCGTCTTCATCTTCATGGTGAATCTCATATTCCTCATTTTACATCTTTGGAGAGTTTGAGAGATCAGGTAGGTGTAACTATAGAAATATGACTCAATTTTATACCAAAGCAATTTCATAAAAAAAAATGTTAGTTCCAGCTCTTTTTTACATTTGATTGTAGAAAAGTAAAAGCAGCTAATTACTATGAATCCATTAGTTTTCTTGTGTATGTAGTTAATTATTTGGCTATAGATATTAAAGTATAAAATAAAAACAACAGAAATTGGTTTAAATAATGTTCAGATAATGCTATCAGTGGCTGTTGATTAGGTTTTGTTTTAAGGGGCTGGTTAGACGATGAAATAAGTTAAAAATGACAAAAACAACCGAATCAACTTTATTCTAATCTCCATATTCAATATTTATTGACCATACTATCAACACATTATCCTGAAGACATGGGTTTAATGGATATTCAGCATTGAAGCTGTTCAGTCACTGTACTGGTTATTCGATTTGTTCAGATATTAATTACTATTTAGTAGCATAATAATTGAAATTTTCATATCTTTTTACCTGAAACAATACATGTATAACCTAGAAATGACTATAATTACTACAGCATGAAGATTTAAATAACAAACAAGGAGGTTAGTGGATTAATAATTTTATTAAATAGTATTTTAATAACACTAATAACTTAGATTTTCTAGTAAGAACTACAAGAATTATTAGATAAAGTTATCAGTAACATATGTTTTGTGTTTGTGTGCATAAAACCGTTTAATTTTAATACCTTCCATAACATATAGTCATTCATTCTTAGGTCAGTCAAACAATTCTTGTTAAATTGAAAGTGAGTTGAAATAATTTGAGTATGGCAAGTGAGAATATTACAATCTATTTGGTAAATTATTTTGATAGCAGGGGTAGAATTTTAGGAAAAGGGATTGCCAAATATCCAAAAAAAGCCATGTGTCAGTAGGTTGGGTTAAGAAGATCATTTACTGGATCAGAGGCTGGTAGCTTTTTAGCTTTGGAAACAAAGTATTTTGTATTTTAATGTTTTTCATATATTTTATTTCAACATTACAATTGAGATGTACATTTGGAGAATTAATCACCAAGCCATGAGCTCCCCAGTGGCACAGCGATATGTCTGCGGACTTATAACGCTAGAAACCGGGTTTCAATACCCGTGGTGGGCAGAGCACAGATAGCCCATTGTGTAGCTTTGTGCATAATTACAAACAAACACCAAGCCATGAAAAAGAGGTGTGCATTTGTCGAAATCCATCTATGGTCATAATTTTTATTGGTCTAACTAAGTCTGTCTTAATTAATCTTTTACTAAACATGGAACAAAATATCTGGGTTTGCATTGTGAATTAAACAACCCTAGTTGCAAATGACTTTCCTCTTTGTTAGCATAATGTGAGAATCATTCCCTTCTCTTGTATGTTGTCTTCAAGACCTCCAACAACACAATGAAAGTGCCCAGACATTTCAGTTTGATATTCCAAAGCCAAAGCTAATATTCATTTCTTGGAAACTTCCACCAAACAGTACATACAGTATTTTCACATTGTCATGCACATATTGCATACATACATACATACTCGTGACATTTGGAATGTTCCTGGTCGGCAACTGCAGCCTAGCAAACTAGAATACACTGTGTACATACACTACATGCACTGCACATTTAGAATTGAGTCAGTTACAAACTCTCTCAATACGAGCTCGGTCCAAAGGGCCGACCACATGACCATTTTTACTTGTATATAGTTTTAATATTATAACTTTTAATACAGTATGTGTATCTTTACAAAATTTGGCAGACATTTAGTAAACATTACAAGTCATTTGTACACAAAATCAGTTTTTGGTGAAGTATTTTTACTAAGGATTTGTCTGTGAATATATCAAGTCTTTTTTTGACTGACCTTTAACCACCAAAATAAAATCCAACTAAATGTATTTTTCCTTTTTCTTTCTAGAATGACTTCGGATTGTAACACAAGATTACATTTGTTTATCCTAAGGAGCTTTACACTCATAACAATATACATCTATTTATGCTTGAATTTTATTGTTTTATTGCCCTTTGAACTGTGTTTTACTTGTATTATTGGTACCATTATGATATAAGTTGTTAATCACTTGGGGAACGTGTGGCTCACGTTACACTATCAAGTTACATTACTCCAAGCTGCTCTTGTGTGTAACTTGTGAAAAATATTTTATTATATTATTATGATTATTATTTATTTTACCTAAACTAACCTTAACTAACTGAAAGAGTTTCATGTTTTTACATTTTAGTTACTTTTACAATAATAGATAAAGAATACACAAGAAAAACAAGAAGTAAAGTATTTACCTAGATCTTCTTTTTAATTGCTGCCCACTGTTGATGACACTTAACCCTACTTTTTTATACTAATGGTAGTAATGCAGTAAATGATTTTTATTTAAATAAATAATGCACCAAAGAACTTTGAATAATAGCATGCAAAAAAAAGCAGACAATTTCCTGTAATTATCACAATTTTTCTTGCTTTCTAAATATGTGACACATGCCATTACAAATTCATCCCAGTTAGTCATCAGCTTTCCCATTGGAACCAAGCTTGTTCTAACAGAGAAATTAACATTTTTATGTACAAAAAACAATTTAATATAGTACATCATTTGATAGATGAAAACCTTGGCTTTCTATTGATTAACTCCTCTGATGTGGAAAAATTTTTTTAGAATTTTATGGCTGCTGTGTAATAAATTTTTTGAAAACATTTTTATTGCACGATGTCAACTGTACGCAAAGAACATTGTGAGAAAACTTCACAATAACCTTTAGTTTTACCACTAGTTATGATAACTCGTTCATACATGTGACAAAATAGTCTAAGTTTCAGCCACTGTTACAGATTGAATGTCAATGCCAATAATTATGCTTGGTATGATATATTTCAAAACATGGTGTCAGACATAAAGCAACATTGCATTATTCACAAAAATATCTTGTTTCCCTCCTGTTTCTTCTTATCTGGTCCAGTATGAGAGCAGTAAACCTTGCAGCATCGTGTTGGAGTGCATTTGCCTTCATTTGGCGGAATAAAATTTTGGAACTGACGTCAAGTTAGTTGCAGAGGATTTGAATCATTCAGCGATGGTCTTTCTCTGTGAGGAATCGTGGCCGGATCATGATACGTTTCAAGAATTCTCTAGATCAGCTTTATTCTGTACTGTAAGTGATTCATTTTGCCCAAAGGCACAGCTGTGTTGTCATTTTTGAATAGAATATAACTGTTGAGCACAATTTGATTGAGCAAGTGGTGAAATTGTTTTTTGTACTACAGTTTATGTCTCTTACGTTCTGCTGGATACGCGACAAGCATTTGATCCATCATCTCTACGGCTCCCATATTGTTGTTGTACATAAGAACTGCAGTGGATTTTTGTTTATCTTCCCGACGTGTGTTTACAGTCCTCATTTAACTTTTGTGCAACATTGAGAAGAGAGCGACCTTTCTTTCATCCAACCACTTCATAGCCACCGTGTCATATGTATACATTGCAGTTGTTTGACCAAGAGAAATTTCCTTCATCAATTCAAATGGCATGTGTTTTCAATTTATCCTCACAGTTCCCACAGCATCAGTTTGTTTCATACATAGTTCTCTGAACAGACTCTGTGAACTATACCATTTGTCCGTGAAAATACAATAGCCTTGACCAAGAAGGTCCTTAGCAAGTGTCAGCACAGTTCGTGATAATATGAGACCATCCACTGATTCTTCTAATTGCATTGCTTGTGCAATGTGAACAATTGACTTCCAAATATTGCCTGTTCCATGTTCACAAAGTTTGTAAAACTTCAAACCGAAGTGAGATCCCTTCAATAGAATGTACTGCTTCATGGCCAAACGCCCCTTCCACATCATCAACGATTCATCAATAGCCACATGTAGTTCAGGCACATAAACAGTGGAGAATCTTTCAATAAGTGCATCAAAGACATTTTTGATTTTCCAGAATGATTTCTCCGTGGCTGATGTTGTCTCTGGCAACGAACTGTTATGAACAAAGTGAAGACATTTCGAGAGCAAGTTTAAATGCATTTAAGTCATTATCTGCCTAATGTATGGTGTCTCAAGCAACGGTTTTGTTGACCAATATAACTAAACCTCAGGCTTTTGAATAATTCCTTGATAAATAAACACTGCAAACAAAACCTTCATTTCATCGCTCTTTACGTCAGTCCACTCATTCAGTCTGGATCTGTGCTTGAAGGTCGAGTCCCTCAATAAGCTGACGTGCTCGTCTGTTTGTTTCAGTACCAATCATACTAAACATGTCATCAGTAATGAACAAATTGAAGTATTATAACGGATCATGGTAAACACATAATTTGATTATGTTCCACACCACACCATGCAAATGATATAGAACTGTTTTCATCTGTCATGCTCTCATCACGGTCATCATTGTCTGCCACATCTAAATCGCTAGAACTAGACTCACTATCATTATCACTATCGTATTCTGATGTGCTATCCTCAGAATCAAACAACATATGTATTCCATCTGCAGACAGTCCATGTTTTGGACCCGCCATTGTATTTTACGACAGTTAAAAATAATCATGAATGATACCGGAGATTGTAGGTTGTTACATTACCCTCCCTCTGCATGTCAATGACATTGCGCTTGTCCTCTGCAGGCAGGATAAGTCAACTTGTTATACACAGTGGGTAAGTGAATGTAATGCCTGATGACGAGTATACTCAGGGTTCATGTTGCATATTAGGTTATTGCTGGACGAGTTAACTAGGAATACACAGTAGAAAGGTTAAGAATAATATAGTATTAAATGTAAGTAAGAACTATTGACAAATCCTGAAAGAGAAGATGTGACAGGTGGGTGTGGCAAGAAGTGTCTGATTTTCTATTTGATGGCAACTTTGTGGCAACCTTGTTCAGTTGCAATATCTTCAAGTCACTTCTTTTTCTGGTTAATCAATTGTTGCATTATTTTGTGACAGCTGAGGTGTTTGGTGTTTTTTTGCAGTTTTGAAATTTTACTTTATATACCAGGAACTACTTTGTTCATGAAATGTTGTGTATGGTACAATTAAATATTAGTGTTTGAAGCTGAATAAATAAAAGTGTTATTAAAATAAAAACATACCATTTACCTTTTTTTTTTTTTTTTTTTTTGTTTAGTTGAAGTCTTTACAAAGAGTCAAAACTTTTAGTGCTGGATTTAGTTGCCATAATGTGTTAAAATGGTAAATGTTAAAAAGATGCTAAGCAATACTTGCTAATTGCTAATCAACTTCAATCAACTTTCTGCTAATCAAATCCACCAAACTATTTTTCTCCTGCTTATTCATTCCATACATACAAGTTCTCTGAACCACTTCATACTTACCTGTCAGCCAAATGTGCCTAGGCATGTAGCACTCTTACCTGTTGAACAGTTTAATTATCTTACCTAGTATAGAGTTGATTTGTATTACCTAGTATACATAGCTATGTAATAGATACATCAATTTTGCTACATGCTCACTAGTTTTATTTCATTATGTAATGAGATCTCTCATTCTGTTGCCAAATGAACACCTTCATTTTGTTTATTTTTCAAATAAGGATTGTGTATTTTATAGATTTCTCGTTGCCATCATTTTTGTCATCAAATGCTTGATTTGAGCATATGGAAAAACAAAGCTTATGTCATCTGGGTTTCAGCAATTCCGGTTGCATTACTTGGCTATTTTGTGCCTTATGTTCATTTGGTAAGTTGCTTAACTCTACAATTAATGAAGTCATATTTAACTGTTTGTGAATAAATTTTTCTAAACAATTTGTTTACCAAATTCCCTGTAGGACCATGATGGTTTTGATTACAAAGTTCCTAATGGTATAAGAATTACACCAAAATTTAAGCAAAAATACCACCAATATTACATTTAACTCCACTAATAACTGATGGGATTCTCAGTGTATTTTGGATAGGAAGTGAATCATTTCCTTCAGTTTTTGCTCGTTACACCCCCCCCCCCCCAAAAAAAAAATTACCCAATACGATGCAATATGTGGACCTGACCTGTAGTGAATATAATGAATAGATAAGGTTCATTAAAATTCAGTTTCTGTAAAGTTAGTAAGAGATTTATAATACTTGAAAGGGTAAACAAAGGTTTTGAATGAAATGCTCTGTTTTTGCTAACACATATTTAATATCACATTACTATATTCCTGTTCATAATTTATTTATTGTACATAATTTATATAATTACACTGAATTGTTTTTTTATGCTAGTTGCATGTAATATTCTTTTAATATACCTTGGATCACTGCAAAATATTTAGAAGTGTACAAAAAATGAAACAAAAAGTTAACCGTTTTTGAAAATTTTTCTTCATTTTTTCATGAGGAAGAAGAGACCATTCTGAAAGCTTACAAGCTTTTGTACTGTTGTACTTTAGATTTCTATTATGTATTTCTATTCTTAATTTTATTTTCCCAAACAGAGAAAAAGAGACCTAAAATAGAAGAAGACGAAACAAAAACCAAAATAAAATAATGTTTGAAACTTATATAAGTATTCATGTGAAGAAGTGTTATTCATAAGACTGTAAATAACCACCATTAAGACTGTTTATAAGGGCTGCCTAATGTCTTTGTTTGTTTATTTTATCTATGATTGTAATTTAAAAAGTTTTCAATACTGTTTTCAATCGGTACCCTTTGTTTTTGTAGGGCCTTAATAGTGATAGTTCTAACTATACCAGTATAATAATTTTCAGTTTATATTTCCTCTCAAGGTTCAACATGTAAAAGATATTCTTCCTGATGCTAATGGTGAGGTACTTGTAACTTGTATAGGACTAACATCAGGGATAGGTCGTCTTCTTTTCAGCAAACTTGCAGACTGCCCTAAGGTTAACAGAATTCACCTTCAACAGGTTAGAAAAAATCATTTCATAATTTAGTAAATAGAAACTAAAAAATTATACAGCGAAATAATGTAATAGTTGTATTCTGATTCTTCTATGCTGAAGATATAATTAGAAATAAGTAGAAACAGCTGGTTTCTGAAATAGCAAAAACTGGGGATTTTTTAAATACTCTTAGTCATATTATTTTATTTTGCCTCCATGTAAAATATTGCATGTGAATTGGTATGGGTGGAATAACTTGTCTAATGAACATTTTTGTGTAGATAGTATTTATTTCTAGGAAATATGTTTTGACACTATTTAAAGCTGGTCAATTAATGGATATAATTTATTAACCATGAGCATTGGTTAGTGTTATGTAAATGAATTGATTAATCAAAATTAGTGTTTTCTGTTATTACTATTTTTCAATATTCCAACTGGCCATAGTAATTAAAATATTGCTATTACAATTTTTTATTATTATTTCTTGTTCAGCTTCCAGGTGTTATGGTCTAATGATTATTGGGGTTGCTTTGTTATTCAAGGGTCTCAGGTGTGGTCTCCATTGCCACCAAATATGCTTTCCATTTCAGGTGTAGGAGGGTTATATTTGTTTCTGGGTTATATCAAACTTACGAAGGCTCTCTGCTGCCATCCCTTATTTTGAGCTGTTGACCAGAGATAAGGTAAACAATTGGCAGCACCCAACAACAACTCTTTGGCTATGTTAATGTTAAGTGTGAATGTACTGTTTTTTTTCACATTATGTTATGTTCCTAGTTTATAATTGCATAACTATTTTCTTTATTGTTGAATAAGGTGGAAAAATTAGTTTTTGTTATGTTACTTTGTAATTTATAATATACATAACCATGTTCTTTAGTGTTAAATAAACTATAAATTTATTTTTTCTACTTTTTGTATCTGTTGTATGCAACAACACACTTCTTACTTCCTGAATTTATGCCCCATTGAAAGTTGTGACAGGTACTGGCATATTGCAGACCTTCACTTTTGGATCACAGGCACAATTGCTGACAAAGCAGTATTCCTCATCCACTCAGTCTTTTAACCATGTGATAAACTACAATAAACAATAACAGAATCAATAAATAATATAGCATTAAGACTTACAAGTATCAACCATTTTATCAAGATAACAAAAATGCAATATATATATATATAAATTTGTTTCTACATTGTACTTTAGATCATATAGAATAATATTATAAAAACATGCTCCATGATCAAATATGTATAAATAGGCTGCAACTGCAATATTGCCTTTATAAGGCCTAGAAAAACATTTTGTTTGGGATAACTCAACTGAACCTGGAAAAAAAAGCCTTGACTCCAAATGTGTATTGCCTTTTCTTCCTAAAATATCTAGAGAATGTAACCACATGTTTATCAATCAGAAACATTTTCACCCTTGTTATTCACATGAGCAAGTTTCATAATTAGCCTGTTCATAATGTTGAGAGAAACTAAATTGCAGTTAATGCAGGCAGAAGGTAGACATCATGATGATCATAATAAATTTATGTTAAAACACACTAAAAGGTATTTATATTTTTATTACACTGTTATCTGGATAGAATTTTTGTAATAAGCCTTAGTGGATAACTTACTGTGTGCTACTTCCTAGTATTTTTGTTTCTCCAAGATAGAATTTGAACTTTTTTTGCAGCAATGCTTGTTTCAGTTTATTGACATGACCTATAAGTATTTTTTGAGGAACAGTTTCTCAAAGTATCCGTCTCTAACAGCACTATCCAATCATTTAATGTAATTAAAACATGCATTGACTTACATCCTATATTAATGCATGTTGTGTTTGTTTGTCTGCAAACTCCTTCTACAGTTTTTGAGCTAGCAGTATCAAACTTGGCTTGACTTAGAGTGTTCCTATGGATATGGTATAATCCTATAGATGGGAGTATAAAACTAGGTTTTGGGTCAGTGAAATTGAATCTAGCATCAAATGTTGGTTCCAATATCTCCTTTTGAGGTATTGGAGGTGCTATGTTTTAAACTGTGTTCATATTCTTAATCACAAGCTAGAGGAAACAAACTTGGCACACATGCTCAGGTATGATGCTTGGGTATCATAACAGTTTTTTGTTTGTAAGGAACATCCCTCCTTTTGGTTGCTGTAGAAATAATTAGGAATAGTAGAGAGGCTTGATCAGTGCATTGAAGCCTACATAAATCAAGAGTAGCACTTAACTAATTAAGTTTGGTGGTGTGTGTCTCCCTCTCAGTTGATATCATTGTTACAGTAATGAGCTCTCTCATTCAGAAAAATAGCTTAGCATACACATGTTAACCCTATGTGTACAGGTGATGGTCAAAGTGTACATGTCAAGACTTTTATGGAGTTCAAAATTTCATTAAAGAATAAGAACTTGATTGTCAATATGTGTTGATAAACTTGGCAGCAAAATGTAGTGTATAATTAAACTTTTAATATTATATTAATTTTAATTTCTGAACTTAGAAAGGATAGAATTAAGTAAATTATTACTCTTCCCTTCTGTGTGTCATTGTTGGATATACAAGAATGTTTAGTGTAAGAGTTATTATTTAGTTCATTTAGTGATCTAATATTTAATGATTATTTATTTTTATAACAAAAGTGTTAAATTAATGATTTTACAGACGATAGTTATAACAAATTTTTTTACGTAACTTTTTTTACGTTGTACATTGTGTGTGTAGTTCAATTGTTGTAGTATTGTTGACGTTATCTTTCTCGAAACCTCTAAGTGACCAAGCGAGTACAAGTCGAGTAAAGTTCAGTCTGAAAAAAGTTAGAAAACATGAAGTTGGCTGTTATTTGAGTGATTAGCCTTAATGGTGATATCTTAAAGTGAGTTTAACAGAGATAAGGGGAATAATTTATCTTGTCAAAGGTTGTTCTAAAGTGATTGAACCCATGTGTGTGGACTTTGATGAAAATGAGACAATTATTCAGAATTCAGGATGCAACTGTGGTAACCCACAAGGTAATATAAGTGAATTATTTGCTGATACTATTGTGATAAGAGTAGAGAAAAAAATAATTTGTCTTGTCAATTGGATTCTAAAGTAATTGAATCAGCCTGTGTGGACTTTTTCCAAGAAAAGAGAATTGTATAGAGTTTTAGATAAAACTATGGTTTTCCATAGTATAAAGAATTTTGTATATACATTTGACTTGTTTTAAATATATATTATTTTAAAACAAGTGGATTGTGTGCTGTCCGTTTATTTTTCAAATTTATTGCCAACAAGTCGCAGACACCTACTGTATAGAATCCAAGCCCATATACAAAACCCTGACAGCCATGTGATGCCTGTCTGCTCTGAATTTTTCATTTTAAATTTTCTTTGTTCCCTTATATGAATGTCCACCAGTTAGGTATATCGACTATATATATATTGACAGACCAGAACATAAAATAAGAACCTCCCACATTCTTTATTCAATGAGATATCAATACATTTGTTAACACCTGCCATTACATCTACAGAACTTAACTTCACACAGCTATATTCTCTTTTGCTATTATCTGTCTATTGTTGTCTGTCTGCTGCTTCCCGCTTGTCTCACACTATTTATATCTTTATTACATAGTCGTCTGGCCACTTTCTGTATTCTTGACACCAATTAGTTATTAACAAAACCTTCTACAATTATCTGCTTTTAACTTTTATTATAACAAAACTTAAAAATAATAAAATATTCACTCACAAATATAAATTAATCACTAATATTTAAACCAAACAGTCTTTTATATCATGACAGTGTCTGTGGAGTGTTATCTTGTTCATTTTAAAATTTTTGCAAGTAGCCAAATACTTTTTTTGCAATTGTATTTAATGATCAATGTGCACTATGAAAGAGCTTAATAATGATGAATTTAAAATAAACTTATAAAAGGCATATATTGTTTTGCACCTGAAAATAATGTGCTGTTTACAGAAAGTTTTGAAAATTGGAGTTTATTTTATCTTGCAGATAATATTAATGTATTAAAAGTATATAAATGTATATAAAATTATAGAACTCAAAAAAGGTGTTGTTTTTTTAGTACATCTTAAAGAAGTTCAACAGTGCTTACATATTACTATGAACATCTGACAATCTTTTTAGTTAACTTAATTTCAGAAATTAGAAAATTTGTATTTTATTAATTTGAATTTTGGTGGTTTGTTTTAAAAATGCACAATTGATCTATAATGTATGGTGTATGTTAATGGATGATAATTATATAAAGAACTATTATACATTACTAAGAAGTTGATTTGACATGGTGCATATATTGTATATATTGTATAACGTGTAGGACTTAGTGAAATTAAATATACAATGATAAGGGAAAACAACAATGTTTGCTAAAAGAATGGAAAAAAAATTAAAAAAAACTGAAAGAAATTTACAGTGCCTTGCAAAAGTATTCACCCCCTCCTCCCTGCCAATAATTATTTAGTGTTATTCGTGAAAGAAAAAAAAATCTAATTTTCATTTCTGCACAGTTCTGAAGAGTTCATCCTGTAAACAATACAATTACCAATTTTCAAAATATTTTCTTCCTATCCAAGAAAACAGTTCTATTTTTGCTAAGAACCTATCATATAGTATATTATCTATTTCTTGATTTTCAAGCATTTCCCTTGTCTTCCTGTCCATATCTTGATTGCATTCCTTTTATGATGTTACATCAAGTGGTTTGATCATTTACTAAGGAAACACAGCTTTGGAAACAGCTATGTAGAAAGCCACATTCTTAGCAATTTTGTAATATCAAAGAAACAAATTTAATGCCCCCGTGGCTAACCGAGTGAGCTAATTTGGTGGAAATGGGAATCAAACCTGAAGATCCTTGAATCATGAGTCACTCTTCTTCTCTTCCCACTGAATCACCAGGACTTACTAGTCCAAAGCTGAATAAAATTGAAGTAAAAAAATTCTTCTAATGCTAAAGTCTTGTTTTGATACCTGTGTTGGGCAGAGCATAGATAGCTCATTATGTAGTTTT